TTTTAGCCAAATTTTATTGATAACATGGAACTCTTATTTTGGTACTTCCTCCGTCCCTAAATAAACTTCCATTTTTGATTTTTTGAAGATTTAAGGGTGGATATTTTTGTGTTGACTTTCCAAAAATACCCTTGATGTGATGTGTAAAAGTAAGATGTGATAGGTAGATTATTAGTAAAAAGGTATGATGTGATAGGTAGGGTATGAAAAAGTAAGAGGTAAAAGGGGTTTTTTAAGGGAAAAGAGGAGTTTATTTGGGGACAAAGAAAAAACGAAAGGGAAAGTTTATTCAGGGACGGATGAAGTATATTTTTAATGCATGTTTGACTCCTACTTTAGTCTTTTTTCTTAAATATTTCCCCACCCACTTCGTATTTCCTTCCGTCCAAAAATAATCTTTTCGCTTTGACATTAGACGCAAATTAAGGAAAAGTAAAAAATGTTTTGAATTTTTATATTTGTAATCGGGTCATTGCAAAAGATGAAATAAAGTGTATATATAGAAAGTAATTAATGGGTGTATCTGAGGCTTGTGAAGTGGTTTAAAGGAAAAGTATTTGCCAAATGTATTTATAGTCTTTGTGAATTCAGGGTTTTCATTTAAATCTTAACTACAACTAAAAGCTTTATTGCAGATCTACGGAGTATATATTATTGATTGTGCTGATCTGTCAATAACAAAGTTGTGATAAAATGAGGGCAATTAGATCTATTGATTTCTAGACTACCAATACTTTTACCATTTTTAATACTTACAATGTTTAAATCTAGTTATTATGATTGAAATGGGTTTGTATGTTTTGGGTAGGACATGGGCGTGATTATGAATTTAGCACATAAGTTTCCTCTATTATCTCCCATTATATCAATATTTTTTGCTAAGGTAATAAATACAAAATATATAAATTCGTACGACGTAATAGATTTTTTTCTTTCAAATAGTCATAAAGCATAATCAAAAAATTGGATAAAAGTTTTCACACGGGTAAGAATCTTGTTTTGAATAAGTATAAAATATCCTTCCGTCCTTGAAAACCTTTTCCCTTTATTTCATTTGTCCTAAAAAATTTTCTCATTTATATTAAAAAGTCACTTTTATCCTTACTAAATCTTAACTTACTTATCACATCACATCTATTCATTATAAATCTACCCATCAAATCTTACTTTTAGCTCCATCATATCAAGAATATTTTTAAAAATTTAACACCAAAATACACTCCTTTTTAATTCCTTAAAAATCAAAACATCTCATGTTTTTTAGAGACGGAGGGTTCGGAGTAGTTTTTTTACTCCTATCTAGGAGTTACTATGAGATAACATAAACCATAAAAAATTAATGAAAGAATTGAGTGCATATATCTAGCTACTTTTATGGAGATGCTTTGATTAAGGAGTAAAAAATGGCAGTAATGTCAATTTGTGAAGTAATTAAAGGATAGATTTGGAGTGCTATTAACCAAAATGGAGTGGATATATCAACTCCTTAATTTAATCCATATGTATGTTAATTAGTATGTATGGGATGTATGAGATATCAACTCAATGCATGCAAGGGATGTACCGTATGTGGGTGTGTATATATATAGATAGGAATTAAAGGCAAAATGAAACTATTAAAGAGATACAAACGATTAAACTATTTGTACACCAAAAATTGTACTCTATTTTGTATATTAAAGACATGCATCGATCAATATTTCGTGCTACTGCGATGTTAATGTAATACTTATATTGATAAAAAATGTCAGTGCAATTTTTTTTTATTAAACTAACATTTTGTGCTTGTGTGAATTGTTAAAATGTCGAAGTATTTCTTTGGGGTACACTTTTGGTATACCACTGGCATGATTAATTCAAAAACTGCCTTGCATCATTTCAATTCAAATTGACAAACATTTCTCGACATGGTACTATTTTAATTTGGGGGTCTGTTTGTAACACGAATTTGACGGAATTGAAATTGAATTAGAATTTAAAATTCTATGTAATTATTGATTTGGATGGAATTGAATAATTTTAATTCATTTTTTTACTTCAAATTCTAAATCCAATTTTTTGTGCCACCAAATAGTAGAATTGGAATTCTTGTCTCTAATTCTAGTTCCATAGTTTGAATTAAGTGTACCTAGCAGAGCTTAACACTAATATTTATTCTACAATAAATCATGTGATTTGTGATAATTTTTTGTGAATTGATAGACGACCTTTCTATGGAAAGCAGACGTTCAAATTTAAATATTTATCAACGCTTAGCTTAAAGGTCTTATAAATAATAAATTCTCAAGATTTTTTCAAAATATATTTAAAAAACATTTACTTGATGAAAAGAGAGAAATTAAAATTTTCATTGATAAATTTTCTATGTGCATATCTAGCTTAATTTATTCTCCATTCACCCTAATAATTTTTTTTAAATTTGATTTTTAGTTAAACTGTTACACATTTTGACTATTGATACAAATAATTTCATTTTTTATAACATTGTTTCATTAACCTATAAGATCAACTATATCTTATAATCAATCAAACAATTAATTACAATAACATATAAATAGAGAGGGAGTGCTATATGCTATTTCGTACAAACTCGATAAAATAATACTCCGAAGCTTTGGGGTGGACTATTATTTTAATTATTCATTATATTCATTTTAATTGGAAATTTGGAAGAGAATGTCATTTGAAATCTCAAAATATCTCACAAGGACTACAACATCTTTTATAAGAAGAAATTATTAAAACAAGCCTATAAATTTAATAAACTTGAATATTCTCCATTGTTGATAATCAAATCAATATTGTGTGTCATACTCTTCCACTGCTTGAGTCTCTTAGCACGGGACACTGAAAAATTAAAAGAAATTCAAATTATTACTCCGTGTTAGTGATAATTACAAGAGCATAAATTTAATTTAATTAATCGATTATCAAAATCCATACAATATATTTAAATAATCAAATATAGTAGTATATATATAGTACATACCTTTGGTACCAAATTTTAACCCTTCCATAGTTGCGCATGGCATCAGCCTGACCCGGTTTTCCCATGTAACCAAAAGCCAATCCGCCCAAGTCAAACCAAACCGGTTCATTATTGCATGCACCTGGGCATTCATCAGTTATATGAATTTTAATGGGTACTCCTGAACACGTTGGGTTATCAGTACATTTTACCTGCAACCATAACAACATTTATATGACATATGTACATATACGTCAAACATAAGTGGCATTGGCATTTCATGCAAATTTAATTAATAAGCTACTCTGCAATTAATCAAATTTTCATACACCCAAATAAAATGTGTTGAATTTCAAAATGATAACAAATGCTTGATAATAGTAAAAAAAATGTATAATATATACACGTACCAGGTAACAACTTCCACACCCTTTCCCACTTTGATAAAGAGCTTGATTTCCCGCAGCTATCATGGAATTGTAGGGCGGATTTCCAACATTCCCAAATCCGCATGCTCCCGTATCTATAAACAAATTAAATATGTGCACATAATTATTACTATGAATGATTGGAACAAATACTCTTTCAGCTCCGAAAGATCTACCCATATCTAAAATACCTAAAATTTACTATGTTTATCTTTTAGTGTGGGTAGAGGCTGTTTTAAAAATCTTTTTGGCATGAAGTAGCATATAATGCAAAGTGTAAAATATTTACCAGTTCCATGACCATTTGCTGGACCATACCATGTTGCGATGGCTGGTTGAAAACCATTAGTAGTAATGTTGGATGGATTTTGACATGAACAAAGAATGAAGAGAAGGGAGAAAATAACAAGAATTGTGCACTTTATCAATGCCATTATGTGGTGTGCGAACTGTCTTGGCTTCTTTAAAATATTTTTGTGACTTTGATCGATAAATTTCGTTGGGTTTAAACTCATTTTATATGTGAAAAATAATGGCCATAGACCCTATATGAGATATATGGTGATTAGGTTTATATTCAATTAAATGCCAATTTGGATTAGTGACTTTAAACAAATTTCCATGCATAAATTAATTGGTTGGTATAGGCTCTCATTCTTCTATTTCAAGACGTTGCCTAAATTGGTCGATGATTTATCATGCTCCATACAAAAACTCTTTTAAAATTTATTTGTGCACACGCCCTAATTGCTCTCCAGTCCATTTTTACATATACACACAAACAATTTTGTTCTTTGTTACGAGTATTATTAAATATTCAAATTATTCTCTGTGATTCCTATTCATTATTTTTTTCTTACATCATTTCAAGACTTTGGTGGATATTATTTCATTTTTTAATTTGTACTCCCGCTAAGACATTTATAGAATTAGAACTTTGACTAAGAGAAGTTGAAATGAGAAGTTGACATTTTTAATTTGTACTCCCGCTAAGACATTTATAGAATAAGACATTTTAATAATCTAAGTTGAAATGAGAAGTTGACATAAATGGTCCATTTTTAACTTTTCCATCCCCCAAAAATCTTTATTCTCTTCTTTTTTTCTAATTTTTTTTTGAATATATATGATGAAAAATCTCTTACACTATATTTGGTTCAAAGAATATAGAAGAAAAAAACAAAAGAAGATGATTTTCTTTCATTTTTCTCGCCAAAATAGAAGTAATTTGGTTTTTACCTCTTATTACATTATGGATTCTCATTTTCTTTTCTTCCATTTTTCTTTTAAAAAATCCTTAAACCAAACATAGTATTATTTTGTTTACAAATTCTTACGTTGTCCTAAGATTGACACTCATTTTATAGACCGTAGTGTATATAGAAGTTTCATATTTCACATAAATTTTAGGACCACAAAAACACAACTCAAGTTTGTTGGGTTTTATTGAATTTTTTTACTTCGATGTGCTAAGACTTTAAAAATATCTAACTCGTTTGTTTCAATTGAAGTGTTCATTTTGAGTTTTACAAAGGACGTGTGCTCCCCTAACAATGTTATTTCCTTATACTTATTTTTATTTTGAAAGTAAATTGACATTAAAAAAATTATGAAGAAATTTATTGCTAGAGTGGGAGATAATGGCTGATAGCAGGAGAAATTGGATCACTTGGATGATAAAGGTGTTAACTAAAAGGGCAATATTGTCAATTACTCCTATTATAAATAGATACAAATTAGTATATCAATTGCAAGCGAAACGTCATTGTTACATAATCTTTGACATACTAGAGGTACACCAAAATGAGATACCTTATTTGTACATCACACTAAGTGTCTCTGATCTAGTAGTGTCTGTGATTCACAATCACTAAGTGTCTGTTTGCCTGATGTACAAATGGGATACCCCATTTTGGTGTACCCTAGGTTTATTCATTTTCAAAATAGCCATCCCCATATGCTTTATTTGTTCCCAAACACACATGCAGTATTTGCCCAACTTCTCACACATCTTGAATTCATAGAGTATTGCACTCTTAGCTAGAAAGTTGAACAATGTTCGTACATCTTCAACCAGGTCAAATACTAGACCAACTTGAAGGTATAGGACCATCGGACATCAGTGTTTTTTCTACCAACCTCTCGTATGAAACAAACCTCATCTTTCTCTTTTTGTTGTTCGTCTCTCATAGCTTGAAGATATGATGAAGACGGTGGCGACATCAACTCCTTGATTGATATTAAGCTCTCAGCATAACCGTCTGGATTCGTGAGCAACCCAAAGCGACCCGTTCGCTTGAGCTCATTGGCGAAAAGGTTATAATGGCACACCTCTTCCTTGTTTGCTCCCCCTTTACGCACGTGGAGGAGGACTTCATTGTCATTCATCCAAAGATTTGTAGGCCACACAACCACATTGTCTTGCAAGTTGAAAGAAAATTGTTTGTTCCACAACATTTGCTGGTCTTCATCTCTACTTAGCATCCAAACATCAATGCCATTAAAGTGCTCATCTTTTTTCTGAACAAAACTAGGAAAAGGAGAGCAACAAAGACAGGCCTCACATCCTCTTGAGGTCAAGATATGATGTACACGCCAACTCTTGGGGCATAAACATGCTGGCATGGATAAATCAACAAAAACCTCATCAACCACATCGAATGACAACAAACCTTTTTCTGATTCTGTTGACTTGAGATAACCGAACCAGTTGATAACTCTTCCATTGGCATTCACTACAGGTTCGCATATTAAGCTCGAAAATCTGTCAAGGGAGCCTATGCTCGGCAGACTACGCCAACAACCGTCTCTAACAGAGTACAAATTTACCTCCCAAGAACTGCGCCCCCCAAAAACAGATGGAGGTTGAGCTGCCACTACCTTGTAGTTGGTATTTATCGGGTCAAACCCGATTGCAATGATAGGAAGACTGCTTGTTGCTAGGTTGTGGGGAAGTGGCAGCAGGACCACCTCCCGGATCGCTGGGTTACAAAGTAGTATTCTAGCCCCACGAAGTGAAGAAGAAGACGCATACACACACAGTAGACCATGATATGTATTGGATACAGAGACATTCAATCGAGGTCCGAACTCAAGCTTCTTCAAGAGACGAAAAGTTTTCTTTTCAGTCAAAGAGTGTATACACAGCCTCAAAACTTCTTCTTCAACAGTGCTCTTGCACCTCCTGCCATACTTACCAAAGTACTCAACTATACAATCAACATTGTCCATCAATGTGGTTGGTGATGGTCTTGTTTTTGTGAGATAATGTCTCATGGCAAATTGTTGGTCGTTTCTTATAAGGTGAAGCCAGGATTTACACACAATGGTGAAGCGTATCAATGATTTCAAAGGGAGACGGATGAGGATCTCAATCAACAGTTCCATTGCCATATCACAGCAGTAGCCACTGTCACCAGTTTCCATTTTATCTCCTATTATTGTTTCTGTCTAACAACATCATATCAACTAAAAGTAAGTAATGAATAAATGGTAACCACGTCTATATAAACATTACCAAAAAAACTCAAAGTGAATGCAGAAAAATTGAGCAGGAGAAGTCAAAACAACAAGTTATAGCACCATTGGAAGATTAACAAACAGGATCAGATAAATAAGTACATAACCACACACCATTGGCAGATTAACAAATAATAACTCCATAAGCTCAAGTTATAGCACATACGACACCATAAAAAAATTCTTAAAGGAATAATTAAGCTCGATCAAGCAATGAATCAAAGCCTAAATTACTCTACTACAGATATGAATGGATGATAGAAAATATTACTTCCTCCGTCCGGAAATAATCTTCCTATTTTCCTTTTTGGTCTGTCCTGAAACATTCTTCTCATTTCCTTTTTAGTCTACTTTTAAAGATAAATTTCAATAAAATCCGTCTACTTTACCTCTAATATACTTTTTTATTGCTTTTTTAATAAGAAAAGAAGCTCTAAAAATATATAGTACGTGAATTTTTGGAAATTGGCACTTTTTTACTCCTCTTTAATATGCGTGTCAAGCCAACACGTGAAGAACATTTCCGAACGGAGGTAGTAGAATTTAAGATTGGATAGTAGTCAATCAATTAATTAAGGCACAAGCTCTCCGAATCACAATAAAAGATTGAATTCAATTGATGATATTTTTGAGCTCAACTATTTTTTTCTAAAATCCCATATGAGAAACTTTCACACAAATCCTTCAGATTATGCGTCTAATTTTATCAACTTTGAAATTCTTGGATCTAAATCAGTTTGTGAACAGGGGAAAAAATCCATAAGATCAAATTATAGCACTGGTCACGCCATAAAAGATCTCAAAGAAATCATGTGGATTGATCGATCAATCGATGAGAGTCTAAGTTACTTGAGAAAGCAGATCAAATGAAAAAATGAATAAAAATACCAGAGAAGCTTTCTGTTGTCCATCGAATTCCAGATGAAATTGGGCAAAAGAAACAAATCTGTTAATCAGAGTGGTACTGAATTTAACCAATAAAATTACCGGATTGGAGTCGTGGATAAGGAAGCTGCACCGCTGCTTTGGAAGATGGCAACCGTAAAGTGTTCACATATGTACTTTTACATTCTCTCTCCCTCTAGCCTCTTTGCATTTGGATGATTATTGATAGAAAAATGTTAGAGGTGCACCAAAAGGTGTACTCAATTCGTCCCTACCCCCTCCATTACCACAAAAATGGGCAAGAAACTTAAAAAAATTAAATAAATAAAAATGGGGTAAAAACGAGTGGTGAAAAAAGGGGTGGGGAACAAATGGGGTACACCATTGCTCAGCTCTTATTGTGATCTCAACTTTACACAAATGAAAAAAATAAATTTTACTCATATTTTATTGAAAAATGCTCTCAACCTTAAAAAAAATCAGTTAATTTTACTACTTTAACCAAATTAGATAAACATTACAAGTGGTAATAATCAATTAAATTAAATTAATATTAGCAAAAACATGAGTAATTTTGAAGTAAACATGTTGACATAAATTTATTTTATCTTCTTAGAGCATTCACAATGGCAAATGAAGAAATGGAATGTCACACGCTGATGTGACATAATTCAATCAATTAGAAACTACACAGTCATTTTTTAAATTTTTAACTTAATTTAAAAAATAAAAAATAGAGTGTGGCAGCCTTGAGGCTACCTCATTTACCGTGGAAGAACGCACAAAGAACGCGAGGAGTTGCTGATGTGGTGCGAGGCAGATACTATGTGGCAGCGTGCCGGCTAAAATGGCATGTTGTTGCCATTGCTCTTAAGATGTACCCACTTTTGGACCGATTAAAACTTTTAATGTTTTTACGTGCACACATCCACATTTACTCCTTGAATTCGCTCTATATGATCTAGATCCAAAAATATTTCAAATTTTAGTTTCAGTATATTATTACACAAATTTGTAATACATATATTTTTAAATGTATGAGAATAAGTACTTCGTCTGTCCAAAAAAAGTATCCAATTTGATTTGGTATAAAGTTAGAGGAAAATGAAAATATATGATAAGAAATAATGTAGAGGAGAGAAATATTATAGACTTCAAAGTTTTTCATAAAAAGAAATAGGAGTCTTTTTTGGAGCATCCCTAAAAACAAAATATAAAGCCTTTTTTGGAGTCTTATATATATATATATATATATATATATATATATATATATATATATATATATATATATATATATATATATATATATATATCTTCTAGTTCTTAAAGCTATTTTTATTTTGACTTTTTTAAGCAAAGAGTTATGCTTTTTACCACAAATTGATATAAATATATATTTAATTATAATTTAAATTTAATACAATTGAATTCACTTTAAGATATAATTTTGATATCTCAAATTATTTTAACATTAATTTAATTATATTATGTTTAACTAATAATAAAAAAGTGTTATGGAGTACTAAATGACTTCATTTCAGATTAATTTTAAAACAAAACTCTCACAAACTTTATAAATTTACCATTTCAAATTTAAATTCTTATTTTAAAATTATATAAAACTATTTTTTTAATGAAGTTCATAAATAATAAATTTGTGAACAACCATTTCCCTTTACTAAGTACTCCTTATTAGGAAGGCACAAATAAAGAACCGGTAGTAACAAGATTTAGCTAAGGGAAGACGGAGACTAATTGCAATTAGCAATTGCGGTCCCAAGTTCGAACCCTAATCAAATCGAACCTGAGCTGTATTGTGGAGCAAGAAAAGAATTCACATGATTTAAAGAGCAAGAAAAGGATCCACATCGAATCTGTTCAGATCGCCGGAAATGGATAGTAGTTGGCGGAGGACGGTGGGGAACGTAAGGTCGTTCTTCGGCAACCTGACCGGAGGTCTGAGAGGAGGTCCCAATTTGGCTTCCTGGCTCGTCGCCGGAACCCTAGCCTACTATCTATGGGTCAAGCCTTCCCGAGAACTCAAGAGGGAGCACGAGGTTTGGATGAACGAATATAATTCTTCCATCAATCGCAGTCTTTGTGTTTTCAGATTCAAGTGAATCTGTCTGCAATTTTTGTTTGCCTGAAAATTCATTCGATCTTCTTGCAGGAAAACAGATTGTTATATGAAAGCAAGAAGAAAGCTGATAAAGCTTCTTAATTAAGGACTTGATGTTGCTGTGGTTCTTTTATAACAGCTCGTAATCTTCTACTTCCCGTCTTCCGGACAGAATTACAGTTAACTGTGAGAATAAAGCTTCTGGTGCAGTGGTAAAACTCATATAATTTTGTTTTGTATTTTTCAAATATTGTGAGTAGACATATACAAGGAGATGTGTGATCTTCTATATTAATTATGATTCGATAGTGCAATGACGGTTTCTATGATACGTCTCTTGAGGCTTTTTAGTCTTTTTGTTCCCCTGTACAATTTCTCTCCGATATGCATCCCCACACCCTTTGAATAAGAATTCAAACCAAGTAAAGGATTTGTTGTGAAGAAGAATGCTCCTCTATTTTTGTATCTTTTGTTAACATTTGGAATAATTTCTCTTCCCGATTCTAGGAGTTCCAACAAGGGTTTTGTTGGATTTTCTTGTGGGATGGTCTAGTATAAAACCTATGTCAAATGGACTCTTGTTTGTGCAATAAGAGACGATGAAAAGTAGTCTAGTAGTTGATGTGTCAATGCCTTCGTACATTTCCCGAGCTGTTTCTTGCATTCTATGCACATCTACTACAACAACAAACACGGTGGTAGAATTCCGTTGAAGTAGGGTCTAGGGAGAGCTATGTACGCAGATCATCTTTACTTGGAAGTAGAGAGACTGCGTGAAAGAGACTCTTGGCACAAAGTAAAGTTAAGTACGGAGTAACATTTTATGCACTGCTATTACATTAATTACACTTATCCACCTTCAAAAGGTTCTTCTCCTTCTACCCTTTATCGTATAGGCTATAGCCAATTCCCTTAGAATGTTGTCACCTTATAGAACCATTAGGCTCCGAAATGTATGAGTTCTAAGATCACACATCTAACTGTTGCTCAATTAGAAATACACGGCTTATGCACCAAATTGGGCTCTTCCGTGTAAGTTGTTGACATGAAAGGATGGAGTATCCTAGATGCCATCCTTAATTGGTAACACCATTGTTCAAGTTCCATGTCTTGGATGAATTGACCAGAGAGATGAGAGATGTGGATCGTTGGGGACAAGTAGACGATGAAATTTTTTTGTTTTTGTTTCTATTCGCTTTATAATTTTGATTGTTTTTTGATTCTCTCGCGTTTCGGCTTAGACATAGAGAATGGTGGTGGGGGGGATGTACAAGTACAAGTGTACAACTCGAGTTCTTTTAATATCCAGTCTCTGTCTCTTTGTACACTATGTAAAATCACAAATCTCAAACTTAAACTAGGCAATTCATATATGCTATTAGAGTTTGTTCTTTTGAGCTTAAACTCTTAAATTTCAATTTTTTCAGTTTCTTCTCATATTTTTTAATTGGGAATAACTTAATGGATAGGAAAAAAACATTCAGTATCATACATAGGAAAATAAACAACCATGGTTAGCAGATTCCATAAGCTCAAATCATAGCACTTACAACATAAAATAAAATATACTCCGTATAGAAGGCATTAACTTCTTACATCAACTAACACATGAAAGCCAATCAATCGCTAGTCAATGGCCGATAATCATATGTGTAATGGTGAGCTTGACGGGGTGACATTCAATCGCCTCGTGAGCGGGTGTGTATAAGCATAAAAATATGTGTTATGAGGATAATGTCATACGGATTATTATGGTACCAACTAAATTGAAGCTGCTACGCTCCACTTGTTTTAACATGGTCCATTAATTTCTTTTTAATGTCCCAAATTCACCTATACTTGAACAACATGTATGAATATTGAACAATACTGCCTAGAAATTATAATATTAATTCATTATTTCCATAAACGAACTACTTTTCAAAAACAAACTAAATACGTTATCAATTTTATATTCCTAGATAAGACTAATATACCAATGCCCAACATCAAACTTTATTACTCAACACCATGCCGGTAAGGCGTAGCTTAGCGGTTGGCATAAGAGTGCTACAAGAGAGAGATCCTGAGTTCGAAAGCTGGTGACTGCGATGAGAGACAGTCATGCAAAGCATGCGATTATAACTCAATTTACTTCTTCTCAGCTAACTGTCCGGACAATACAAAGGGATCTTCGGAGATGGGGTGTCATCCTTTTTTTGTAACTCAACACCATAAAAAATCAATTACACTAGCTTATCCTCTAGCAAAGTTTTTCCCTAATTTCGCCTCTATTGCAAATATAGAAGGAAGAAATAATGTGTTCAAAACTCAAATATCGGGTAAATTTCACAAAAGGTACCTGAACTTTAGCTGGAATTTTGAAGTGGTACCTGAACTTCAAATCCTTTCACAAAAATCCCTGAACTTACACAATCCTTTCACTAATGAGCCATTAGCCCGTTTCTAGGTTAACTTCCGGTCATTAGGGCCAAATTCGAATTTTATATATTTTAAAATTTTCAATTTGACCCCATTTCTTCTTTTATTTTCTTCCACGCCCCGCCGCCGCCGCCCGCCGGTCAAAGTCGCCGGAAAATGAACTTTTTCCGATTCCGGCGGGACCAATGTCATTCTCTTCGTCTTGAGACGAGGATCAATAATATCCAAACCATTTTGTCTAATTTGGCCTGTAACTTCTCGAATCTGAATTTTTCTACTCGAAAAAACTCTAAAATTCGAAATTGGATCCAAAATGGGGGGTTTTGCAAATCTTCATCAAATCTTGCAATTGAGGGGTCCTTGGAGGTCGCCCGGATGCCACGACCGCATTGGAGTTGGTGCCCGCCGTCAATTTCGCCGGATTTAGCCGGAAACGCTCCGACGTTTCCGGCGAGTCGGAGCGTTTTCCGGCCAACTCCGGCAAAATTGACGTCGAGCACAAACGCCAATGCGGTCGTGGCATCCGGGCGACCTCCAAGGACCCCTCAATTGCAAGATTTGATGAAGATTTGCAAAACCCCCAATTTTGGATCCAATTTCGAATTTTAGGGTTTTTTCGAGTAGAAAAATTCAGATTCGAGAAGTTACAGGCCAAATTAGACAAAATGGTTTGGATATTATTGATCCTCGTCTCAAGACGAAGAGAATGACATTGGTTCCGCCGGAATCGGAAAAAGTTCATTTTCCGGCGACTTTGACCGGCGGGCGGCGGCGGCGGGGCGTGGAGGAAAAGAAAAGAAGAAATGGGGTCAAATTGAAAATTTTAAAATATATAAAATTCGAATTTGGCCCTAATGACCGGAAGTTAACCTAGAAACGGGCTAATGGCTCATTAGTGAAAGGATTGTGTAAGTTCAGGGATTTTTGTGAAAGGATTGTGTAAGTTCAGGGATTTTTGTGAAAGGATTTGAAGTTCAGGTACCACTTCGAAATTCCAGCTAAAGTTCAGGTACCATTTGTGAAATTTATCCCTCAAATATCATATTCAAGGGGACTTGCTTAGTGAGATTGCCTCAACTTTCATTTAGTCAGACAGGTTGGGCTAGGTCGGGTCCTAACACAAACATTCTTTCTCTGTGTACCAAATTGAAAAAAGTGAAATTTTCACTAAGTAGTACTAAAACATAAGTCATTTCCTAAGAGGTTAAAGGTTGAAGGTTCGAACCTTAGTGATAGAATAATATTTTGGCCAAATTTTACAAAAAATAAAAATAAAAAAAACTGGTTCGACCAGGTTAATCGGCCGGTTCTTACTGGCTTCTCGGTCCCAACCGACTAGTCTGATCTGGTTTTCAAAACTATGATCCAAAGTACTCAAATTTAGAGGTGCAGACTCAAACTAGTCAAGTACTTACTAACTTTTTAAATTAAAAAAACTAAAACACATTTCATTAATTAAAAAGTACTTACATCTTACTACGTATTAATTATTAATTAAAACAAAATATATTTCATTAATGTAAAAATAAATATTTTTAAATTGAAAAAATATGATACGGAGTAATTAATTAAAAAAAGAAATTAAGATTAACAAAATTCCTCCATTTAATTTTTTGTTGCTGTTCACCGTCAATTTAATTTGTCTTTTTTATAATTTGTGTTCTTTAAAGCTACGAAGTATATTTTGTAGATCATACATTCACACTATTATTGTCACACTGACATCCCATCATCACCGGTCACCAGAGTGCCACCAAGACGATTTACCGATCACACTATTGCATTACCCGGTTATCACTTTTCATCACATTGCTAACACGTACGCTTACATCACAATGTCATTATACTCCTATTTTGGTCTTAAAGAATTATGATATATATTTTGATATTTTCATATCTTTTTTACTCTAAGTAGAGAGATTCCTTTTCTTTTTTTAAATATTCTTTTATTATTATTATTGTTATTATATTTATTAATAACATGAACACTATTTTTTTAATGCGAGTTTATAAGCTAGTTTTTTTATCTACGGAGTATCCATCTTGACCAAATCATTTTTAAAACTACCCCTAAAAGAATATTTCCAAATAACTCATCTTTTATTCAAGTTAAAATATTTTTGAAAAATCGTGCGTGGCCAATTTTAGAATCCAGTCGCCCACGGGCCGCCCTTCTCCTCTTCGTCCAAATCCACCGTTTAACGTTAATTAGAGTCGTCGGGCCACAGTTCTCCAAAACCAGAAGAGCATTCCATTTCGAAATCCCTATCTCCCCCCGTTGATCCGTGCGGTTTCTTCATCTCTCCGGTTCCATGACGGTTAGTACCTCGATCGGCATCTTGTTATCTCCTGTTTCTTTGAATTATTTCACGCTCTATCTCGAATCGGCGGGTTCCGTGTTTCGTTTCATTGATCCGGTCGTCTTGTGAGATTCTTATTCTGATTTCACGGCCGGGAGTGCTTTATGCTGTTATGATTGATTGTTTTTTGGTTACTGATTTGGAATTGATGTGTTCGGGTTTCATTTCTTAATTTGATTTTGGTTGTGGGAGGGGGGAGGGGGGGTCCATTGTTCTATAGATTGCCCTTCTTAGAAAGGGGACGGTTACAATGAATTTCATTAGAATTTGGACTGCCAAATGAGCAATAGTTTGTCGGTTTATCCATCTGTTTTTCATTTATTTTTATAAATTGCATAAGGCAGGTCAGAACAGTGAAAGTGAGCAATGCTTCTTTAGGCGCTTCTGAGCAAGATATTAAGGAGTTCTTTTCGTTTTCTGGAGAAATCGAGTATGTGGAAATGAAAAGGTTGGTTTTTTTTCCATTCCATTTTCAAGATCTCTGTGGTGTCTCTGGCTTCTTGTTATTTTGAACTTTGTTGAGGTGATTAAGAACAATCAAACTCTGTATGAAACTCCAAAGAACATATGAATGAAACGATTAGCTGCTATCGTTGTTGGTTTTTCTTAGAACAACCATATGACACCTAGAAGTATGCACGAAGGAGAAGAAAAGCTGTGATTGTTTGGAATTTATTGTTGATTATCATGCCCAGTGATCTTTACCATGTTTCTGGACTTAGTGTAATCTACCTTTTCTTTACCAGTGCTGATGAACGGTCTCAGACTGCTTATGTAACTTTTAAGGATCCTCAGGGTGCAGAGACAGCAGTGCTTCTTTCGGTAAGTCTACTTTGCATAACCTATGAAGTAGTGAAACCAGAGTTGTTATTACGCTGAGAAATTATCACTTCCCAGAATCAAATGCACTCACTAATTTTTTTATATACAATGCTTTCTTCGAGGACAAATTTAAAGGAAGGATAGGTAAAAATTTGTTCTTTATTCTAGATCCAGATTCATGGCAGTTTATTTGCTGTCCATTTAGTGTTAACCAGTCTTTGCAACCATGCTTGCATTGAAAATGATATTATATTGCACCCTTAACTGATGTCTTTGTTCACTGGTGCACTCACATGGTGTATCTTAGGGAGCTACTATTGTTGATCAGTCAGTCACCATAGCTCTTGATCATGAATATAAGCTGCCACCTGAGGTTTTGTCGGCACCAACTGTAAGTCTTAAATATCTATCATCTCTTTGCTTTTATAAATCTCATCATTTTTATCCTTTTTTCATGTCATGTTTGGAACACGGGAAGTGGTATGGAAATGGGAAAAAAACTATGGAAAATAGTTTTCTTTATGGTTGACATATGGTTGTACATTGGAAAATAAAAGGAAAATGAAATTCAAATAGTATTTTACTGTTTACTACTCTTTATATAATAATAGAATTATATCAATAAAATGTGTTTGAACAGATATGAAAATTTGACATTTTGACTAATTGAGTAACTATTC